AATAAAAGGTAAAATGGTAAATGTCCCCTGGATGGTTAAGTCCAGTCAAAGGCGACTATGGGATGTGGCACTCATCTCGCTTCAGGTCAAGGGAGCCGGTGTTTGTCCACAGACAGCTTTCCGGGTCATGTGGCCAGCATAACTAAACCGCTTCTGGTGCAACGGGACACTGTGACAGAAACCAGAGCGCATGGAAATGCCTTTTACCTTCCTGCTGCAGTGGTACTTATTTATCTACTTGCACTGGCATGCTTTCGAACTGCTAGGTGGGCAGGAGCTGGGACAGAGCAATGGAAGCTCACCCCATTGTGGGGATTTGAACCGCCAACCTTCTGATCTGCAAGACCAATGGGCTCGGTAGTTTAGACCACAGCACCACCCGCGTCCCGGTTTTACCTTAACCTTAAATAAAATAATAAAATGAAGAAATAAATATTTAAAATGATTTCTAGAGGGGTGGTGATTACACTGGGCAACAATTTTTTACTTTTTGAATGTTGTCTAGATTTCTACAACTGATTTAGGGTATTTTTGCACTGCTGAATCAGGAAATGGCATCCGTTTCTCTCCATCAGGTCAGGTTTACTGTAAACTCAATGGTGGGCATTGATAAAGGTAAGTACACATAAATTGCATGTTGCTTCACCATTTTTCAGACTTTAGGGCTTGAACTTCCATTTATTGGAACTCCTGGAATGCTCAGTGGCAGGAAGGTCTCTCTTCAGAGTCCAACAGTAGTCAGCCATAATGACTGTGTCCCAGCGACCCTGATACCTGTCTCCATCTCTTTCATGTCCTGATGGAATCTCTCCCCCTGCTCGTCACTCATTGAACCCAGGTTCTCAGGAAACCGGTCCATATGTGAAAATAGGTAGTGCATCTTGACGCTCATGTTGCAGCCCAGGTTTCTGAAAGCAGTCAGCATGTTGTTGACAAGTTCTGCGTAGTTTCTGGCCTTATTGTTGCCAAGAAAGTTCTCCACTACCAGAACAAATGCCTTCCATGCTTCCAGTTCCACTTCGTTTATTGAGTTTCCGAACTCTGGATCTCTGATGAGCTGACGGATCTGAGGACCGTCAAAGATGCCAGCTTTCAACTTCTCCATGGTCAATCCTGGAAAAGTCTGGCACAAGTAAGTGAAGCAGTCACCATCCTTGTCCAGAGCCTTGGTGAACTGCTTGATTAAGCCGAGCTTGATGTGCAGCGGTGGGAAGAGTATTCTGTCTCTGTCCACCAGAGGGTCAGCGATGACGTTCCTTTCTTTGCAAGGCACCAATTCCTCCCGCACAGGCCAGTCCTTCTTCGTGTAATGCTGAGCATGGTCCCTACTATCCCACATGCACAGAAAACATGGGTACTTGGTGAAGCCAGACTGTTGTCCCAACAAAAAGTTCACCATCTTCAGGTCAACACAAATAAACCACTTATGCTGATCATAACCAATTTTCTCCAGCACATACTTCACCGCTTCATAGTTCTCCTTCAGTGTACTCGAGTGAGCCAGGGGTATAGAGGCAAACTGGTTGCCGTTGTGTAGCACAACACATTTCAGTGATCGCTTGCTGCTGTCAATGAACAGTCTCCAATCTTTGGGTTTGTACTGTGGCACTCCAAGCTTGAACAGAAGCTGCGCAATATCTGCACAGTACACCAAGTCCTTCTCTTCCGAGAAAAAATGGAGGTACTCTTGATGCCTGTTGCGGAAGAAGCTGATGTGAGCACTGTCAGAGAGGAGGTTTTTTTTTCTTCAATCTGGATGCCAACAGTTTGGCAGAGTCCTTTGACAAGCTGAGGTCACGAACTAGATCATTCAACTCCTTTTGGGAAAATGGATGTGGAGCATCATCTTCAAGAACCACTTCTTCTTCTTCATGTCCTTCAACACTGGAGGCATCTTCGTCACTAATGTCAGGAAGTTCTCCGAAGATAGGCACTGGAATTTCATCACAATGAGCTACAGAACGACGTGCTGATTGAAGATCAGGATACTTTGTGGGGCGGCTGCCCCATTAACTTAGTTTTGATCCCCCAACTTTATGCTTTGCCGCACCAATTTATGGAAGATTTCAAGGTTTTATGACTTCAAACTGATCCCTTTTCAACATAATCACCCAGAACTATCAGACCTGAATACTTCTTGTCATTAAACTAATCATTTCCAATCAAAACAATTATTCGACATGGCATTTTAGCCCCACCAACTTCTTCTAAAATGCTCCACACAAGCGTACATGTGAACAAAAACGTACAAAAAGACATGTGGCAATAACTCAAAAACTTGACCTGATTGAGCAAAACCAATGTGATTTTTGGATTCAGCGCATCAGATTCATCCTAAATCAACTGAAAAAACGCATACAACAAATTTGTCTCAACAACCTCAGATATGCAGATGACACAACCTTGATGGCAGAAAGTGAGGAGGAATTAAAGAACCTTTTAATGAGGGTGAAAGAGGAGAGCGCAAAATATGGTCTGAAGCTCAACATCAAAAAAACGAAGATCATGGCCACTGGTCCCATCACCTCCTGGCAAATAGAAGGGGAAGAAATGGAGGCAGTGAGAGATTTTACTTTCTTGGGCTCCATGATCACTGCAGATGGTGACAGCAGCCACGAAATTAAAAGACGCCTGCTTCTTGGGAGAAGGGCAATGACAGGCCTAGACAGCATCTTGAGAAGTAGAGACGTCACCTTGCCAACAAAGGTCCGTATCGTTAAAGCCATGGTTTTCCCAGTAGTGATGTATGGAAGTGAGAGCTGGACCATAAAGAAGGCTGATCGCCGAAGAATTGATGCTTTTGAATTATGGTGCTGGAGAAGACTCTTGAGAGTCCCATGGACTGCAAGAAGATCAAACGCATCCATTCTGAAGGAAATCAGCCCTGAGTGCTCACTGGAAGGACAGATCGTGAAGCTGAGGCTCCAGTACTTTGGCCACCTCATGAGAAAAGAAGACTCCCTGGAGAAGACACTGATGCTGGGAAAGATGGAGGGCACAAGGAGAAGGGGGCGACAGAGGACGAGATGGTTGGATAGTGTTTTCGAGGTTACCAGCATGAGTTTGACCAAACTGCGGGAAGTAGTGGAGGACAGAGGTGCCTGGCGTGCTCTGGTCCATGGGGTCACGAAGAGTCGGACACGACTAAACGACTAAACAACAACAACAAAAGTGATATGAACTGGAACAAGACTGAGAAACCTCAGGCTTGGGAGCTGAATACAGCCTTCTAGGGCTCTCTGTTTGACCCTCAGGATTCTCCATGGGGCACACACCATCCCCAGCCATGCCCCCACTCTGCAGGCTACATCCATTCCTCCCTTTGCTTTGCACCCTCACAGAGTGCCTTTGCCCAGCTGGAATACATCCTTGAACTGTGATAATGCCTCCTACTTTGCTGGATTGAGGATAGAGAAAGGGGTCGACATGTGTAGAAGCTAGGCCACTGTACAGAGATGAATTTCACATATGTTGGTTTTTCCACTTTTGCCTCTGGCCCCACCCACGACTGCCATGTGGCCCCCAGAAGGGAATGAGGCCCTTGAGCTGAAAATGGATTCCCAACACTGAACAAGAAGTTAAGACGTTGTTCTTTTTTTAAATCTTTTTTACTAAAGTTTCGTATGTGTGTTGGGGGGGTATGTGTTGCTGAGTGTAGCCCGTAAAAAGATGCTTCCTGGCAGTTACCATTGGGCACTCCAAGAGAGGCAAAACATATTTTGGGGTTTCTCACAGGACTGTGTTGCCCTACCACTAGGCAGAATGAGGTTTCTACCCCAGGCAGCTGATTTTGGGTCCTTTGAGAAGACACAAATTGTTATTTGCTAATTATTACTGCATTTTTTCCCCCAGGGAGAGGGTGTTTGTGGGATCTTATTGAGTTACAAAATATCCTCGTCAGCCTTGGGCGTTATGCACACTGGCATGTGTGTGTGTGTTTCCACTTGTTTCACCTCAAGGAACTGAAAAACCCCAGAAGCATAATGAACCGCCAACTCTGAACTGCCCACCATTCTAAAAATCTCCAGTAGCAGGCGACATAAGAAATTCTGCCTCAGACCCTGGAGAGCTGCTGCCCACCAGAGGAGACAGTACTTGAGCAGTTTTGGGGCAGGCTCTGCTTTCTAGAGTTGGGTGGTCCATGAAGTTTCCTTGGGGGGGTCGGTTGCCATGGGAACGGCTGAGGAAGTAGCTGCCAGCAAGGGGCTAAATATGGCAGTTGCTTGTGGAGCACTTTATCCCTGGAGAGCATAGAAATGCAGAGAGGGTCATCTAGCTCAACCCCCTGCAATGCAGGAATCTTTTGCCCAATATGGGGCTCGAACCCACAGCCCTGGAATTAAGAGTCTCATGCTCTTCTGGACTGATGGAGCAGGGAAAGGGAACAACTCTCTGACCCTCCAGATGGGGTTGCACTCCTAACTCCCATCCCGTGGATGGCGAGCAGTCAGGGGTGATGGGTGTAGGAGCCAACTCTTGGGGCCAAGATCCCAAGTTCGGCCCCCTCAATAAAATATTTGAAAGTGTGTGGGTGTGTGCTGTGTCTTATGATCTATAATGCCTCCCCCCCCCGCAGTATCTTATTCAAGTTGGCAGTACAGTGGTACCTCGGGTTAAGTACTTAATTCGTTCCGGAGGTCCGTACTTAACTGGAAACTGTTCTTAACCTGAAGCACCACTTTAGCTAATGGGGCCTCCTGCTGCTGCCATGCCACCAGAGCCCGATTTCTGTTCTTATCCTGAAGCAAAGTTCTTAACCTGAAGCACTATTTCTGGGTTAGCGTATGTAACCTGAAGCGTATGTAACCCGAGGTACCACTGTATTTATTCAATATTTTATTCAAGCTGGCGCCCCTAATGATGGGTGTTGGGACCCCCAACCACACCACAGGCCCTCCACCTCTGCTGCAGAGGAGTCTTAGCATGGTTCATGGATGGGGTGAGGAAGGAAATGCTGGCGTAACCAATGGAGACGCCGGGAAGGTCAAGGTGAATGCTAGGGAGGAGCAGTTGCTAGGCGCGGGGTTGCTAGGCCCGTTGCTAGGGAAGGAGGTTGCTACGGGCACCGGGGCAGGAGTGATCTCGATGGGGTGGCCCCGATGGGCGAGCCCATGCTGCAGCGAGGTTGGGGGAGGGAGAGGTGTTGATGAGCTCGGCCCCAGTGACGCTGCCCCCCTCCTTTTACTGCAAACCTGCGCCTGGCTGGGGCGCCTTCTGCAGTGCACGTGTGGCCCCGGGGGGACTCAGGGAGGGACCCTGGCTCCCTCCCCCTTGTGCTGTAATGCACTCGCTCCTAGGAGTGGGGCGGGCGGTGGGGGGCGGCTGTTTATACAGGGCCCCGTTGCCCATTGCCGAGATAGATGCATCAGCCGGGGGTGGAGTGGGGGGGGGCGCGTCTCTTTACGCAGCGATGCCTGGCCTGGTGCTGATACGAGGAAGGAGACAGACGTCAAAGGGAGGGAGGCATCCCGGGCCGGGTGGAAGGGTGTGCTCGGCGGGTGCGCGGGGAAAGGGAAGGGGGGGGCACCCTAATATTTTCCCGGATGTCTCCGGCAGCCTACGTGCACGGGGAGGAATTAGGAAAACAGCAATAGAGGAGGCTGCACAGGGAACCGGGCTGAGGCAGAGGAGGGACCACTAGTGACTGGGGAAGCTGGAAGAGCAGGCAGCAATCTCAGAGGACTGGAGGGACTGCAAGCCGTCAGGTAGAGATGAGGAGGGGGTGAGAGAGGGATGGAGGGGATGAAAGGCGGGGAGGGCGGGAGAAGAATATGGGGGGAATAGGTTTAATCAAGTAGGGAGGAGCAGTTAAGGGGGGCGTTGAGGATGAGGAGGGGGTAAATACATGGGTGGAGACAGATGCCCAGAAATATTGTGGGTGGGCTGCAAATGTGGAGAGATTTACTGGCCCAGAATACAGCAAAACAGAGCTAAGACCTTAATTTCTGGGGTGGCGGGAGGAGGAAATGAGAAATGTAGCAGTGGAAATGACTGAGTCAATGGGGCTTGAAGCCAGCCGCCCTCAGAAAACAAAGCGAAGCGGCAGAGGAATGGCTAGGTCTGTGTAGCGGAGGCCAAGCAAAATACTGAATGAAGTGCACCTGGTTAAGAGCAAGGGGTTAAAAGGGCACCCGACCAATAGGGCAGGGGTCAGACGTTGAAGAATGGGAAGGCTGCAAGGAGCTGCCTGCGCTCATAGGGTGCTCTAAGCCCACCTGAAGATGCCCTCTATCATGGCCGACTGGGGTCTGCACGGCCTTCTCTCGCCACTCCTCCCTGACACTTCGTCTTGGCGCCCTCGGCCAGAGCCCACCATAGCCGTGCTGGGCTCTCTGGCCTTGCTGTTTGTCTGGTACTGCTACCGCGTGGGGAGCGGGCAAGCGGCCCCCGCCTCTCACCAGCAGGGCATGCCCACGGAGGAGCGATGCCCTCGCCGTGCCCTCGGGAGCGACGCTGCCAACCAGCGCCTGTACCGCAGCCTGCGAGACTACGCCAAGCGCTACTCTTGGTCGGGCATGAACCGGCTGCACAAAGGCATCCGAGACCAGGCCCATTACCAGCTGGGCGAGCGCCTGGCGATCCAGAAGCCCAGCGCCTTCTACCTCCCGGACTTGCCTTCTGCCCCCTACTTCCCCCGCGAGTCCCAGCGCCACGACGTGGAGATCCTCGAACTCAGCTTCCCGGCCATCTTGCGAGAGTTCGAGGGCATCGCGTGGGACTTTGCGCCTGGAGCGCCAACCCCGCGGGGGTGGACGGCCAATGCCAACCCTGGCTGCCATAGCTATTACCTCTACCGGCAAGGGGAGTGCGTGGCGCAGAACTGTCGCAGCTGCCCGTGGACGTACCGGGCACTAAGTGCGCTGCGCACCTTCGTCAATGCCAACCGCTTTGGAAACGCTTGCTTCAGCGTCTTGCAGCCTGGAACTGTGCTGCCCGGGACCTATGGGCCAACCAACACCCGGGTGCGATGCCATTTAGGTGAGCAAATGCTGGAAGAACAGTAAGGCGGGCAAGATATGGGGGCGTCAGTGTGTGGGGAAGTTTGCAAGGCCAGAGTCTTCCACCATGCATGCATTGTCCACTAGCTGGAAATTATTGAGTCCCTAAACAGGTGGCAGAGGACTTCTGTTGTTTATAAGCATCAGAAATAAGTACCCCTCAGGGGTCATTTTTAGGGCTGCAATATATAGTTGAGTAATCGGTGCCCTAGATCAATCGGCCAACTAGAAAATCTGTTAAATTGTTTGGAATAATGCAAATACTTTCCAAAAAACATGCAGGTGGAAAGTGGCATCATAGAAGAGGCATTTCTTCCTGTGCGTGGGAATGCTTCTTCCAGTAAGATTTTGACTCTGCCATGAGACACCTCTAGAAATCAGAAGAATGCTTTCTTTCTCTTTAGAGCTATATGCTGAAATGTATGATGATTTACGCATCAATTAATCAGCTAAAGCTCATACAGTTAATTAACAATATTTCTTTAAACAGAGCAGCAGCCCTAATCACTTTATGGCAAAGGAATCTCGTAAGACCTTTTCAGAGGCTAGCAGTTAAGAGTTGGGAAACTCTGGTGGCTTTGGATGAGTCACTGGCTGCTTCCACACTTTAATTTCCTCATAGGAAAACAGAAATAATAATCTATCTTGCAGGGTAGTTGTTAGGCTCTTCAGACATTAACCATTGTAAAGCATGTAGATTAGTTGGATATGTGGAAGTGGAATAACAGTAGACTTGAAGTTGCCTTCAACAAGAAAATGTAATGGTATCACACAGCTGTTCAGACCTTGAGTGTCATTTATTTATTTATTTTAAAAAAGCAAGTTTCTAGCTCTCAGGTATATTTGAAAATATGCAATATTCTCAAAGAGCTCTAGTATGCATAAGGCAAATTTGTATGCCCTGCATTGCCCCTGGCTCCTTCCTTCCTTCCATCCATAACGTTTTATTGGGTTTTACAAGCAAGGCTCATAGGAATAATAAATGAGGCAAATAAATAGACCAAGTCCTGTTCCACCCATTCTGATCTCCGGTAATGGCCTGGTTTCCCTGTCATAGTAAGCCTGAGTGTGGCACAAACATACTGGCTTCCGAACACGTCACAGAAGGAACAGGAACTTGCACCTGCTGTGCTCTTCGCTGAACTTTTTTGGGTCAAACCAGACAAGAGCTCAGCCAAGGTTTGTGTTGTTCAAACCCGGGGTCATACTTCAGGTCTCTGCTCTTTAGCCACTACCTCTAACCGTAGGGCCTATCTTGGCTACAAATTGTGGTTAAAGGTGAGACACCTTGACCATGGATTTGGACGGCACACTAAGCTTACTTGCCATGCTGTGATAATTGAAAAAGCCAGTGGGAGACAGGGAGCAAAATGGCTGCCATTTCTTCTTCCTCCTCTGCCCTAAGCTATGGTTTGGCCTTCTGTGACGTGTGAATGCAGCCTATGCGCCCCTCCTCCCCAGAAACCTTCTGTGATGCCTCACCCACATATTTCCGTCTTGCTCTGTCATTTGCAATTAAAATCAGGCAGACAACGCCCCCAATTCCTCGCGAAGACTCAGATCAAGACTGTCAAAAAAATTATGTAAGTGCTTTGCTTTTTGTGCCCATCCTCTCTCTCTTTCTTTTTCTCTCACCCACCCACCATGAAGTCTTTTCTAGGAGCTCTGCATACGAGCATTTTATCCACACCTTTCAGGATTGGGATGGGGCGAGAGAGAAGCAGCATTTCCTTGTGGGAAGGAAGAAAGCAGTGAGGTGGGCCTGCAAAGGCAACAGCAGGGCCTTCTTCAGATAAGAGTGTCGTCCCCTTCCCAACCCAAAGAAAGCCAGTATCCAGCAACTGCCCTGCTGGAAGGAACATCTGATGCCATCTCCTGCTCCAGTAGAGCCGGTTGCTTTTTAAACATATCTTAAATTTTATTCAGTGCTTTGAGATGCTAGTCGAAAAGTGAGCTGTAAATCTGCTGAATAAATACACAAACTTTGGAAGCTTCCTTGTTACAACCACCTCTTTCTTTCATTTCTAGGGCTGAAGGTTCCTCCTGGTTGTGAGCTGGTCGTGGGGGGTGAGCCTCAGTGCTGGTCCGAAGGATACTGCCTCCTAGTAGATGACTCCTTCCTGCATACCACGGCTCACAACGGTAAGAGAATGGCTTTACAGGCTAAGGCTACACATCTGATGCCCTCCAGATGTTTTGAACTACAACTCCTATCAGCTCCAGCCAGCATGGCCAATAATCAGGGATGCTGGGAGTTGTAGTCCAAAGTATATGGGGGCATTAAACTGAGTTTGCTCCCCCCCACCCTTTTCTTAAGAAATCATAGCAGGGGTTGGGCCTGGGGAAATTATACACTCAGCCTCAGTTTCCCAGTCTGTGAAATGGGAGGGGAAACATTCATGTCACTGCAGATTTGGCAATCCGTTTGTCAGGGGGTGGCCTGCCTTACTGCCTGCTCCGCTCACCCGTATGACTTCTCTTAAAGAGGTAAAGGTAAAGGGACCCCTGACCATTAGGTCCAGTCGTGACCGACTCTGGGGTGGCGGCGCTCTTCTCACTTTACTGGCCGAGGGAGCCAGCGTACAGCGTCCGGGTCATGTGGCCAGCATGACTAAGCCGCTTCTGGTGACCCAGAGCAGCGCATGGAAACGCCGTTTACCTTCCCGCCGGAGCGGTCCCTATTTATCTACTTGCACTTTGACGTGCTTTCGAACCGCTAGGTTGGCAGGAGCAGGGACCAAGTAACGGGAGCTCACTGCATCGCAGGGATTCGAACCTCCAACCTTCTGATCGGCAAGTCCTAGGCTCTGTGGTTTAACCCAAAGTGCCACCAGCGTCCCCTAAAGAGATTTAACCTCTTTAAGAATAGTAGGGAGCTGACGTAATGCCATCCTGCTTGACACATTGCTGGCTGATCACCTGTGGTCGATCTTTACTCACCTTGGGCAACCAACGGGGTGTGAATTTATGCAGCTGAGCTGCCTTGTCGGGTTTCTGTGATGCCTTCACAAGATTAAGGATCTTTCACAATTTGAGGGTTACAGATAACTCTAACCATATTTGTTGCAGGTTCTCCCACTGATGGCCCACGGGTGATATTTATTGTTGATCTCTGGCATCCCAATGTGGCAGGACCTGAGCGACAGGCGCTAGACTATATCTTTGCCCCTGGTCGGTAGGTGCCTGCTCAGGATCAGGTATTGTAGCCAAGGGGGGGGGGACCCCATAATGCCACCAATAGTGTTTGCTGCTCTTCACAATCATCAAAGCCTCCCACAATATTGCCTTGGAATGGAAACTCTTATTTTACCGTTGTGCAGACTGAACTGGGGGGGGGTGCCCCCCCCACTTCCAACTTTGGACTTCTGCATCTGAACTAAAATCTACGCAGGGATGTATCACAGATGGGGCAGCGGAGCTCCTTTTCTCTCTCTCAGTGTGATGCTGTGACCTAAAATACTTGTTCTATAGACCTTTGTGACATGGTATACATTGGTTCCTCTTCTTGCCATTCTGTTGGTGGTAGACGCTGATCTGGACGGGTCCTTGTGGCCTGTTCTCATCTCCTGTGAGTCTGGGGTTATTCAAGTGCAAGTGCTGCTGTCTACAGTCCAGGACCAGAAGGCCTCTGAGTTCTACTGAAGTTCAACAATCCTGATTTTAGTAGCATGGACTTCTCCAGGTTTTTTTTGGAAATGGGTGGGTTGGGGAAGAGAAGCAAGCCAAGGCGAGCACTATTTCCACCTGTCTGTGATCATTTGTTAATTCCCACCCCGCATCTGTTACCGCGACGTTTGTGTGGCAGGATTTAATCCAAAAAAGCCTTGCTAATTAACCTGCACCCCAATAAAATAATTAGAACCCTCTGCCTCGTGTCTCAATTTTTCTCTACTGTGAGGGGGAAAAAATCAGAATCCTCTTTACTATTGGCTCAATGTGAGTTCTGAGGTGTGGCTGAGCCACAGGCCATGAAGGAAGCAAACCGTGGCCTGAAGTATTGCTGTCACCCCGACATTTCATAAATGCCTCAGACTGGGACGTCACTGCTCAGAAACTTTGACAAAATCCAGTTTGGGAAAAGTCTGCTAATTGGATCAAGGACGTCAATAGCCTGAGGGAGCAATATGTCACTGCGGATCTGCATGCGAGTTATTATAATAATGGGTATGACTGTATGCATGGGAGGGGCGGGGAGAGAATTATTGGCGCAGGCCTCCACCATGACCAGAATACTGACACACAGAAGAAGACAAGTCCTTCTGCCTGCTTTTTACATCCATATGTTTTGCCTGCATCCCTATCTTGCCGGCTGCGACTTGGAATCAGTCTTGACAGCCATCCACCCGGTTTCTGTGGCTGTAACCCAAAACACACTTGAGGGCTGCCATCCTAACCATATCTACTCAAAAGTAAGTCCCTTTGAACTCCATGGGGCTTGCTCCCACGTAAGTGGGGTTAGGAATGCAGCCTTTACCCCACTGAAGGTAGGATTTGAACCAATGGCTTCAAGTTACAAGAAAGGAGATTCCGACTAAACATCAAGAACTTTCTGACAGTAAGAGCTGTTCCACACTGGAACGGACTCCCTCAGGAGGGTCACTGGGGGTTTTAAAGCAGAGGTTGGATCCATCTGTCATGGATCCTTTAGTTGAGATTCCTGCATTGCAGGGGGTTGGACTAGATGACCCTCGGGGTCCCTTCAAACTCCACAATTCTACGATTCTATGGACACGGATAGACTTCCAAGTAAACATGCAATGTAAGTGACTTGTGGTATGCTTATTAGATTTCAATACCAGCTTCTAAAAAAATCGGGTTTTTTAATAATAAAAAGTGGCAAAAATCTGCTACAGGATTAGAAAGAAAATCGCATCGCATTCCCATTTTTTTTTAAAAAAAAAGACTTTGACTTGATCTGTGAGAGTCTGACATACCCAGTTTTCTTCCCTGTTCCTCCTGAACAAGCTTTTTCTGCACCTGCCAGAAAACATCTAACAAAGACATTTGCTTCCCAGCACATACCGTTCCAGGAGCAAGAGTTTCATCGCGTCCTCACCTGCTGCAGGGGGTGGGAAGAGAGAACAGCTTGCCACACACACACCTGCTCATGCTGCTTTCGTGGGTAGCAGTCCGCAAATTTTGGCTGCCTTGATAGTCACAATGTGTATGTACCAGGAGATCCTCCAAGCAATACTGTCTGGTGTTGCTGTCCCTGACCTCGCATCCCTAAAGGCAGCTTGAGTTCAGGAACAATCCCCTGCTCTCCCTCTCCAGGTCCAAGCGTGGGGCAGAGAGGTGAGGGGGTGGAGGTTTATCGCTGCAGGCACCCTGTGCTTTGAAGGCCCCTCAAGGCCTTCCAAAGCAGAGCACCACTTTGGAGAAGACACTCTGTACCCTCACCAAACTCTTAAGGTCATAAGAACAAAAATGAGAATTTAAGAAGTAAAAACAAACTCACTAGCTTTTATTTACACTCAAGTAACCCAAAGCAAGTGCTTCCTGCCAGTCAGTGCAAGATGCAAACCAAAGTACATTGTCTGAACCAATGGGTCCGTCCAGTAATTTCCTTCCCCTTGTATTGAATCCATGAGTCCACAGTTCCACTTGGGCTGAAAGGATTTAAAAAGGTCCTGTTGTCTCCACTGCACTCAATATTTGCGCTGGCGCAGGAAAAGACCAGGTGGCCGTTTTGGAGTGGGTACGTCATCTGAGTCAAGGTCAAAGAGGTCTCGGCCCGTTTTCATTATCTGTTCCTCTAAGACTTTGTGGCGCTTCATATCTGACAGCACCTTGTCCATGCGAGCCTCCCTCTTCTGGCTCTTAGCTGAGGTCCCTGAAAATAAAATAAACACCCGTTAGGATCTGTGGACTCAGTGGGAAGTGTAAGTTGGGTCCAGGTTTTTTTTAAAATGAGAGGTAGGCTTCAAATGCAAGGTGCCAGGAAACCATTGTTCTTCCCTAAATGTAAAGGTAAAGGGACCCGACAGTTAAGTCCTGTTGCAAACGACTTGGGTTGCGGCGCTCATCTCGCTTTAGATGAGCCAGTGTGGTGTAGTGGTTAAGAGCGGTAGTCTTGTAATCTGGTGAACCGGGTTCGCGTCTCCGCTCCTCCACATGCAGCTGCCGGGTGACCTTGGGCCAGTCACACTTCTTTGAAGTCTCTCAGCCCCACTCACCTCACAGAGTGTTTGTTGTGGGGGAGGAAGGGAAAGGAGAATGTTAGCTGCTTTGAGACTCCTTAAAGGGAGTGAAAGGCGGGATATCAAATCCAAACTCTTCTTCTTCTTTACAGGCTGAGGGAGCCAGCGTTGGCCCACTTCTGCAGACAGTTTTATCCGGGTCACGTGGCCAGCATGACTAAGTCGCTTCTGGCGAAACTAGAGCAGCGCACAGAAACGCCATTTACCTTCCTGCCAGAGCAGTATCTATTTATCTACTTGCACTTTGACGTGCTTTCGAACTGCTAGGTTGGCAGGAGCAGGGACCGAGCAACGGGAGCTCACCCTGCCCTAGGCTCAGTGGTTTAGACCACAGCGCCACCTGCATCCCTTGTTCTTCCCTAACTAAATCCAAATCTACACTCTGTTTTCACAGCTGTAAGAGGGTCTGCATGTCCTTACATTTTGCATAGGTTTAAAGCTTCCCCATCTCTTCTTTGAGGAACTTTAAAGTATTTTGTAAACAGCTTTGAGGTTTTTCCTCTCTAATTAAGTGGTGTATAAATTTTATCCAATAAATATATAAGCATGCTAGGTTGGTCTTCCTGTCCATGCCCTTCTCCCTTTCCTAGGTTCCTGTCTAGATCAGGTGTGGAGAACCTTTGGCCCTCCACATGATGCTGAACTACAGCTCCCATCATCCCTGGCCACTGGCCATGCTTGATGGAGCTGATGGGAGTTGTACTCCAGCAAAATCTGGAGGGCCACTGGATTTCCCACGCCAGGTCTAGACAACAGAAAACTGTCAGCCAATTTGCCTTAACTTTTGTAGGGGAGTCTCACATGTTAAACCTCTTGGGCAGACGTAAGGGACTTCAGGCAGGATTCTCAGAGCAATATTCTGGAGTCCTGGCATTTAAATAGGGATGGAGAATCTGTAGCCTGTGAGCTGGATCCAGAGCATTGTGGCATTTCTTCCAGCATGCCTGAAGAGAGCTTTATATTTGTGGATCAGATTGCCTGACAGCTGGGCCTTGTGAGCACCTTCAAAGCTTTCCCCAAGTGAGAAGCTGACTTCCTTTTCAGAGAGGGACCCTTTTGAAAGCGCATTCAGGCCAGCTGACAGACAACCTTTGAAGGTCAGATGTCAGCAGGCCTGATCCAAACTTTCAAAGCACTACAAGAAGGAGAGGCGACCCTAATTTTTTGAGGTGGGGGTGGATTGGTGGGTGGGCCAATGGTCCCCGATTGAAGTGGAAGGAAGGTTCCCTACCTCTCGGTTTGAGAGAGGAGTGTCAGAATTTTGACAGAAGTAAGCCAGAACAGGGTGCATGAGAGCATAATCTAAATTCTGAGGTTGCAAATGGGGCTCCTCAAAAAAGAACAAAAACAATCAAGCATGACTCCAGGATTCTCTGGAAAGTGTGTGTGTTTAGGGAGAAATCCAGTCCTCCAAATACAGCCAGGGTAGGCGGGTGGCTTTCCTTTTCAACATACCAGGAGTTCTTCGACGATTGATCAAGGAGCTCTTAGGGGAGGCAGGCTCATCATCAAAGTCAAACTCCGTTGGCACGTGGGGCCTGCAGCAAAGAGAGAAAAATGGAAATCCGCCCAGCACCAGAACCTGTAGCCCCTCCCTCCTTTCCTGTCACCAGCACCATCTCAGATTTTGGATCCTTCCCCAAACTCCCCTTTCAAGTCAAATATTACCCCTCTCCCCGCAAAAAGAAAGACACGCGCTCTCACTTCTCTTCCTCCTCTTCTTCCTGGTTCTCCAGCTGCCCATCAGATTTATCCTCATCTTCGCTGTCAGGCTCTGGGGTAGGGTTGCGCCGGGGTAGGATCTCTGCCTGGATCTCTAGGGTCCCCTGGGCAGCAATGAGCTCATAGAGGCGCCGGATCTCCTCAGGGGGAGGCATCCAGCTGTCTGGGGACTCCAGTTCCTCATCGCTGCAGGGGACGCACCAATCCTCCTCGGCCGATTCGTCTCCCTTCGCCGACTGCTCCCCATCTCTCTCCCCGGCTGCGTCATCTTGTTCCTCGGTGGTCGGAGGTAGCTCTGAGGAAGGCTCATCTTCCACTGCCAAGGACTGCATCCCCGAGGTGACTTCACCTTCCTCCACAGTGCTGGCCTCCTCCATGGCTGCTGGAGAGACAGAGGCCACAGAACTGAGAGAGGCAGGGCAAACAGGACCCTAACATAACCGGGCAAGGGCCTGCCTGGTACAAGACGGCAGCCATCTTGGGAAACCCCTACAGCAAAATGTGAGCTAGCATGGTGCATCAGTTCAAAAAGCAGGAGTGTGGGTGGCTGGTTGTCCCTCGCCTGCAAGATTATCTTTCTCTTTTGGCATCAGAGACTCCTCTCCAAACTTTCACATCCTCCAATGAAAGTTTTCTTGGGAGCGCAGAGATGGGGCTCAAAAAGATGAATTGCCAGTGTTTCCAAACTAACTCCTTAGATACACCTCTCCTAGTTGCCTGTAGTTGAGGGAGGAGGGTTAGCTGTCATGAAAAGTGTAGAGAAAATTGTATGTTCTGGGAAGACTTCTTAGGCCTCCTCTTTCTTGCTGCCTCTGCCAGCAAATTCAGAGACATCTTTGCTCTGTCTCTTAACACCTTTCAGATCAATAATCCCTTGATCTGCCCCAGCCTTCCCATAAATAATGAAGTGGAATTCGCCCCTGTTCAGAGGAAGCGCCCAGATAAAGATCTCTTTGAAGTTGCCAATTGTTATTCATTCTGCTGCAAGAAAAACCAGGAAGCCTGTGGCTCATGCCAGGGTAAGAGCAAGGAGGCAGAGGCACAGCAGAGGAAGATGTCTCAGGATGTACCAACCAGACCTTATATCAGACTCCAGTCCACTGAGAGATGAATCAAGGTTCTGCTGGCCCATCCTTGCAACCTCCATATCGGAGAAGACCCTCCCACAGCTCCCAGTGTATTCCTGGTCGGGGGGGAGACATGATGCCTTGAGGAACAACCCCCTTCCCTCCAAGATCGTAACTCAGAGATGCTCCATCCAGAGAACCTGTAGAATCAGGGGACCCCAAAAGCCCTACAGGATCCACCCCACACCCCAGATCTGGACGCAGACACCCTGACTTTGTGGTCTTATAACTTCATTAAGAGCAGCATAAGCCAGTCCAGAGCTTTACTCAGTCCTGAGGATCCAAAAACTTAACTCCTCCAGAGGGAGCTATGTTGCAGTAATGGTAATGGGAGAATTGATTACAAAAAGTGCCAGGGGTGGGGTTTTTAAGTCCTGAAGTCTCTGCTTTAGACTCCAGAGACAAGCTCCTTACAATCAACTCTGAATGCTATGAAACTGCAAATACATACATATACTAGATAGAACGACGACACTAGCAAGATGAGTCAGACAGCGTCACGCCATAATCAGTGTTCTCAACAGGTAAATCCATTCAGGAAGGCCATCCCCCCAGGTTAACTTCCAGATGAGACATCCTTGATTTGACTACCTGCCCAATCTCCCAATCCCTAGAAGCTCTCTCATTTTACCCAATCGCCTTTCTGACCCTCGTGCTGGTTCCTTCTCACTGGTCACATTTTCAGTTCCACTTGACTCACTTTAGATCAGGGGTAGGCAACCTAAGGCCCATGGGCCATAAGCGGCCCACGGGGGTTGTTTAACCGGCCCACGAGCCACCCCCGAACCAAGCCGCCAGCTTGGTGAGTCCCTGCGCGCTGCACTAAAGCGGTGCAGCACGGCATGGGGACTTGCTTCCGCAGCACCAGAAATCGCATCTGCGCAGACACAGACGCCGGAAATCCGTCTGCGCAGACGCAGAAAATCGCAGGCGCGATCCAGCCCATGGAGGGATCTCCGCTGGAGTGAACCGGCCCAGGCAAGGTAAACCTTGCCGACCTCTGCTTTAGATTAACAGTCCCCTGAGGTAATGTGACCCTATTTTGGGGATCAGCTGGGTGGCAGTTTTATAAAGGGCCCCCAAATATACCGTATTTTTCGCACTATAGGACGCACTTTTTCCCCTCCAAAAATGAAGGGGAAATGTGTGTGCGTCCTATGGTGCGAATGCAGGCTTTTGCTGAAGCCTGGAGAGCGAGAGGGGTCCGTGCGCACCGACCCCTCTCGCTCTCCAGGCTTCAGGAAGCTATCCCAAGTCTTGCAAGCCCGGCGGGATGTCCCGCGGGCTCGCAAGGCTTGCGGGCAGCAGCCTGCACCCAAAAGCTGGGGACAGCGGGGAGGCGCAGAGCCGCCACCCCGCTATTCCCCGACCTGATCTGGAGGCTGGCGGGGGGAGAAGCAAGGCTGCTTCTCCCCCCCAGCCCCACAAGCTCGGGGGATAGGGGGATGGCGAAGCGCCGCCATCCCGCTATTCCCCGACCTGATCTGGAGGCTGGGGGTGGGAGAAGCAAGCCTGCTTCTCCCCCCCACCATCCCCACAACCTCCAGATCAGGTCGGGGAATAGCGGGATGGCGGCGCTCCGCCATCCCGCTATTCCCCGACCTGATCTGGAGGCTGGGGGTGGGAGAAGCAAGCCTGCTTCTCCCCCCCCCCCAGCCCCACAACCTCCAGATCAGGTCGTGGAATAGCGGGATGGCGGGGCTCCGCCATCCCGCTATTCCCCGACCTGAACTGGAGGCTGGGGGTGGGAGAAGCAAGCCTGCTTCTCCCCCCCCCAGCCCCACAACCTCCAGATCAGGTCGGGAAATAGCGGGATGGCGGCGCTCCGCCATCCCGCTATTCCCCGACCTGATCTGGAGGCTGGGGGTGGGAGAAGCAAGCCTGCTTCTCCCCCCCTCAGCCCCACAACCTCCAGATCAGGTCGTGGAATAGCGGGATGGCGGCGCTCCGCCATCCCGCTATTCCCCGACCTGAACTGGAGCCTGGGGGCGGGAGAAGCAAGCCTGCTTGTCCCCCCCCCCAGCCCCACAACCTCCAGATCAGGTTGTGGAATAGCGGGATGGCGGGGCTCCGCCATCCCGCTATTCCCCGACCTGATCTGGAGGCTGGGGGTGGGAGAAGCAAGCCTGCTTCTCCCCCCCACCAGCCCCACAACCTCCAGATCAGGTCGTGGAATAGCGGGATGGCGGTGCTCCGCCATCCCGCTATTCCCCGACCTGATCTGGAGGCTGGGGGGGGGAGAAGCAAGCCTGCTTCTCCCCCCCACCAGCCCCACAACCTCCAGATCAGGTCGTGGAATAGCGGGATGGCGGCGCTCCGCCATCCCGCTATTCCCCGACCTGAACTGGAGCCTGGGGGCGGGAGAAGCAAGCCTGCTTGTCCCCCCCCCCAGCCCCACAACCTCCAGATCAGGTCGTGGAATAGCGGGATGGCGGGGCTCCGCCATCCCGCTATTCCCCGACCTGATCTGGAGGCTGGGGGTGGGAGAAGCAAGCCTGCTTCTCCCCCCCACCAGCCCCACAACCTCCAGATCAGGTCGTGGAATAGCGGGATGGCGGTGCTCCGCCATCCCGCTATTCCCCGACCTGATCTGGAGGCTGGGGGGGGAGAAGCAAGCCTGCTTCTCCCCCCCACCAGCCCCACAACCTCCAGGCTTCAGGAGAGCCCCACCGCCAGCCCCACAAGCTCGGGGGACAGCGGGAGAGGCGCAGCGCGCCCTTCCCGCTCTCCCCCGACTTGGCTAGAAGGCTGGCGGGGGGAGAAGCCTGCTCCTCCCCGTCGCCAGCCCCGCAAACTCGGGGGACAGCGGGAGAGGCGCAGCGCGCCTTTCCCGCTGACCCCCGACTTGGCTAGAAGGCTGGCGGGGGGAGAAGCCTGCTCCTCCCCGTTGCCAGCCCCGCAAACTCGGGGGACAGCGGGAGAGGCGCAGCGCGCCTTTCCCGCTGTCCCCCGACTTGTCTAGAAGGCTGGCGGGGGGAGAAGCCTGCTCCTCCCCGTCGCCAGCCCCGCAAACTCGGGGGGCAGCGGGAGAGGCGCAGCGCGCCTTTGCCGCTGCCCCCCGACTTGTCTAGAAGGCTGGCGGGGGGAGAAGCCTGCTCCTCCCCGTCGCCAGCCCCGCAAACTCGGGGGACAGCGGGAGAGGCGCAGCGCGCCTTTCCCGCTGACCCCCGACTTGGCTAGAAGGCTGGCGGGGGGAGAAGCCTGCTCCTCCCCGTTGCCAGCCCCGCAAACTCGGGGGACAGCGGGAGAGGCGCAGCGCGCCTTTGCCGCTGTCCCCCGACTTGTCTAGAAGGCTGGCGGGGGGAGAAGCCTGCTCCTCCCCGTCGCCAGCCCCGCAAACTCGGGAGACAGCGGCAGGGGCACAGCGCGCCCTTCCCGCTGTCCCCCGACTTGGTTAGAAGGCTGGCCCAGCCCCGCAAACTCGGGGGACAGCGGGAGAGGCGCAGCGCGCCATCCCGCTGTCTCCCGACATGGTTTGGAGGCTGGCGGAAGGCTTCCTCCTCCCCCAGCCCCGCAAGCTCCCAGAGCGATGCCAAAGCTGCGCGCAGCTTCGGCATGGCTCTGGGTCCCGTTCTGGGGGAGGGGGAAGCTCGGGCTTCCCCGCCCCAGCCCCGCGCCTGGCGGGGGGGGAATAAATTTTTTTTGTCTTTATTTCCCCCCCCCAAATCTAGGTGCGTCCTATGGACCGGTGCGTCCAATAGTCCGAAAAATACGGTACATTTCTATTGTCCCCAAATGTAACATATCCTTTTCTCCCAGCAATCTGGTAAGCAGCTCACTTGCTCTTCAGCGTCAGTAACCCTGACTGGCATCATTAGACAGCTTCCTTGCTGTTCAGTACATTGGCTGTCAAGCCACAGACCTCGCTAGACAGCGCCACTGCCAAGCCCAGAAGACTGAGAATAGGCCAGCAGCCAAAGAACAGTTCTCTTGCCAGGAAACTCAGTTTTCCCTCTTCCTCGCTCTCACTGCACTTAGGCAATCAATATGATCCAGGAAGTTCTACCACTGCAGTACAGCTATATTCCGCAAACATTTAGACCTTGGGCTCGTTCCTCACAGCTGCTCATAAGGACCTCCATTGTGGGTTTTTGTTTCTAGATGGCCCCGCAGACCCAAACATCACACTGGCCACAACAACAAAAAATACCTTTGATTAGGAGCCCAGGCAGGGGCAAAGATCAGCAGGAAGACCCTGCTGAAAGTCCCTTCCGCTGGAGATCAAAATCGATATGCAGAGAAGCAATGTCTTCACAACTGCGGCTTCTTGGAGAGACTGCGGCTTCTTGGAGAGGATAGTCTCAGCCCAACCCTGCAGTGATTTAGAAGGCAAAATATTACTTTTCACAAAAGCCCCTTAAGAAACATATAAGCTCAGCGCCAAATGGCGCCTTAAACATGGGTTATGGTTGCCACAATGGAATGTCTAGGCGCCATCCCCCCCAATGAAATTTGTTATTATTCTTCTTCATTTCATTTCTATATCAATTTATATTTTAAAGAAAAAATCTCAAAGCTGTATACAATACAGTGAAATATCAAATAAAGCAATACAGAATAAAACAAATTCAAGCTTCAAGGAAAATATTTCAGATCCTCTAAATGACATCTAAGTCGGACTAGGACCTGGGAGATCAGGGTTCAAATCCCAACTTAGTCATAAAGGTCACTGGGTGACCCGGGGCCAGTCACAGCCTCTTAACCTACCTCACAGGGTTGTTGTAGGGAGTGACTGAGGAGGTGGGTGAACCATGTACTCCTTGGAGAAAAAGGCAAGATATAAATGCAATAAAGAAGCTGTTCTGCTTACCTGCTTAAGAAAGGTGGAGGGGCCAGCCAGATGGAGAGGTCAGTCACCAACTTGGCAACCAGAGATCTCCATGTGGTCGCAATTGGACCTGCACCAGTCGCAAAACACGCCTGGCTAATTTCTAATACTGACCTTAAGGTCTATAGATGATGACAACTGCATAGATCAACTAAGCTTGTCTGCATTCTTCTTCATTTTTAACCAGGTATTGCTGGGGTTTAAATGTAATATTTTAAGTCCTAATGTAGCTGAAAGACAGACATAATAGGATCAGATTTTTTACCCATTGTCTTTTTAATGGTATATATTGCTTGTTTTATGTTGCTATGGCCGTTGGCTAATGCAAATAAAGTTTATCTATTATTATTATTGTTGTTGTTGTTGTTGTTACTATTATTATAGGATTGGATATCCTATCCTATGCAGAAGTTCAGTGGGACTTACCTCTAGGTATGTGTGTACAGAACTACAGCCTAAGCTCCAAATCAGGCAACCCCCAGGTTGAATCTTGCCTCTGCCATGAAATCATTAGGTGGCTGTCTACTCTCACAGCCACATAAGACTGCCTTATACTGAATCAGACCATTGGCCCATCTAGCTCAGTAATGTCTACACTGACGGGCAGTGGCTTTCAAGGGTTTCAGACTGGGGAGATGCTGAGGATTGAACCCAGGAGCATATGCATGTAAAGCAGATGCTTTGCCCCTGAGCCACAGGCTCTTCCTCTCTTTCTCAGCTCAGTCCTTCCCTCCTGCAAAGTGGGTGAGGATGATAGCGAGTTACCTTACTGGGCTACGTAAGGATTGCTACTAGAATAGCTAGATGACTGTATGCGAAGTACTTGAAAGCATAATGCAGGTATTTAAAGCAATATCCTTTAATGTAGGGATGGGGAAATTGCGACCTTCCAGATGTTGCTGGATTATGGCTCCCATCATCCCTCACTAATGGCTCGGCTAGTTGAGGCTGATGGGAAGCTAACATCATCTACTCTACAGGGCAACAGGTTTCCCATCTCTGATTTAATGTAAGTAAACCACTCTCAGCTACCACACCAAAGCATAAACCAAATACAAGGGCAATTTTGTTGAAAATGCAGCAAGCGAATAAAGTTAGACGCACACATCAGCTTGGACATTCCAAGGAAAGCAGATAGAAGTTTCATGGGCAATGATCCCTGCTTTAACTTTCTTTTGGAGTAGAGATTGCTGGAGACCAGCGCTGCTTTTTAAATATTTGGTTTATTCCCAAATATTGAGGTAGAGGTTAGAAAATGGAGGTAAACAATATAACCACTTCTGCCAGGCAAGGACCTTAAATCAGTTGTCCAGTGAGCTGAAGCTTCTACACCGGTTCTCCCACAGTTTTCAGAAAGCTGTCATTTCATCACAGTTTCAGGAGGAACCCCACCCCACCCCAGAACTAGAAGCTGCCAAGCATGCCAGTTTCCACAGCCTCTTAAATTTTCTTACAGAAAGTTAATGGTTGGGAGAAAAGCTTCTACTGGTATTCTGGACCCCCAACATACCTGATAGCAGCTATAATATTAAACTAACATTCCTTTTTTCCTTTGCTTTTATTTTTTTATTCCAGTCAAGAGTAATCAGGGCTTGGCATCCGGCCTATGCTAAAAATTTTATTTTTTTATTGACCATCCACTCTGGAGAAGAGCTGTGCAGCTAATTCCAAAGCTATATCCTTCTTTTAGTTAAGTATGACCATGATCCAAAGTTATGCATTTCTTACGGACCATTGAGTTCAATGGCAGAGTTAAGCCCGAACAGCTACCTGTAAGTAAGTCACCCCACTGAGCACGGCATCTTGCTCCCTTGTATTAATAAGTAAAAGAGGACATTGCACGAGGTTTTATACTTTTGCCACTGAAATAAATAAATCCACGGCACTCCTAAAATGCTTAACTTCGGCTGGATCATGCTCAAAGTCAACTAAAAGAAGATCTGTTGTCTTAGGATCCTCCCCCCCTCCCCTTTTAATTTTTTCAAAAAGTCACTCTGCACATGCTCAAAGACACTTCATCGGATCATTTCTTCCACGGCTCGGCACTAAACACGAACCACGATCGGGGATTAAGTCTTGCGGGGGCTTCACCACGGCGGGTGGCCAGGGAGGGAAAGAAGGGAGGAGACTCGTTCACCCACCCGCCGCGGGTCTTATCCGGACCTCGAAGCTCGCGCGCTTCCCTGCCATGTCGGTTTCCTTCGCCCCGGACCAACCAAGGTTCAAAAGCTGAGCGGCGCACAACCGATCGCCCAAAACCAGCCCGCAAAAGCCGAGTGTAAGAACAATCGATCGCTGCTGTTGCTGCTTCCTGGAAAGGGGGGGTACTCAAAAGTACCGGTCACTTTCTCAGCTGCGCACGCGCCGCAAAAATGGGAAGGGGGAGGGAAGCGGCCGCTTTTTCTCCGGCGGAACTTGTCCTACGCGCAGGCGCAGTGACTAACGGCTGGGTCCTTCCCTCTCTCCGATTGGCCGCTTTCTCCTTCCTGGGGCGGGCTTAGCGCCAAATACAAACGAAGTCCGGGAGTTGCTCTGAGGCGATTTTGGGAGCGAGTGAAGGACCCGCCTGGGAAGGCGGGAGAGGGGTAAGTGGCCTCCCGGCTGCGCCTCAGTTGCCGGTTGTGGCGAGCGGGCGGAGCCGGAGCGGGGTCGCCGCTGTTCCCGCGGCCTGCGAGAGCCTTTGTGCATAGAATCTGAAGAGTTCGAAGGGACCCCGGCGGTCATCTAGTCCAACCCCTGCTATGCAGGGATCTCATGTAAAGCATCCATGGCAGATGGCTTAAAAATCTCCACGGGAAGGAGAATCCACCAGCTCCCGAGGGAGACCTTTCCACTGTCGAAGAGCTCTTACTGTCGGAAAGTTCTTCCTGGGGTTTAGTCGGAACCTCCTTTCTTGTAACTTGAAGCCACTGGTTCCAGGCCTGCCCTCCAGAGCAGGAAAGAACGAGCTTGTTCCCTCTTCCATGGGACAGCCCTTGAGATATTTGAAGATGGCTATCCTATCTCCTTTCAGTCTCCTCTTTTCCAGGCTAAACATACTCAGCATACTTCTACCACAGAAATTTGACAGAGTGGCCAGGATCCCTGATAATAATTTACTGGTTGCATTACCTGGGCAGTCTGTCCATTCTTTTGAGATGGTAAATGCTTTAGTTCTAGAATCCAGGTCACAGGCCACCCTTTCCTGCACAAATACGCCCTTAAGACAGGATTTGTAGGATTTGTAAGTGAAAGGACTTACAAGGAAATGGAGGGAATATTTAGAGACATTAGGGGAGCCAAGATGGTTTTTTGGGATTGTTTTGTGTGCTAAAATGATGTGTGATTTTCTCAGGGAATAGTTCTTAAAATTTGAAGGACAAAGGATTGGTTTTCTGTGGAATGCGTGTGCATCCTAAAATTTTATAACTAGAACCAACCCAAAGGGGACCTTCAATAATGATCTCAGTTCACAGATGAGCTGGTGCGGAGTTTGGTGCTTCTTCTGGTACTTGTATCTCACCCTGCACTTTTTCTCTTCTTAGATATCAATGAAATCTTGTCAACGATTAAGCCGTTATGAAGCCCAGCGAACCCCCAGCAATGCACCGGCTCGAGTTCGGGTTTGTGTGCGATTGCGGCCAAGTGTGGGAACAGGAGAGGGAAAGGAAGCCCCTTGTGTACGTGGCGTGGACTCCTGCTCCCTGGAGATCCTGAACGTGAGAAATAATATGGAGACAATGAAATACAAGTGAGTTGGGCAGAGAGAGTTGGGAAGAACCAGGCTTCGTGTAGGTTGTGGCCCTATGGTACACCTGTTTATGGTTTTTAACAGGGGCATTAGATGGAACTGAACAAAGTCTGGAGGAATAGCAGCCCTTCTCTTCTAGTATGAGAAGCAACAGAGGCCTTCCTCTTGGCCCCTCGCTGTCTTTTGTCTGTCTCCTTGCAACTGACAGGATAGGTATGGGAAACCACTGGCTTAAAACCACTGACTTAAAGTGACTGCTTCTGCCTGTTTTGCCACTGCTGTTCTTTGATTGTCTAGGCATGACGGGTTGCTACTGGATTGTTAACGGGCTCTGCATATGAACAAAGGAGGGAGAGATGGTGCCTGTATTCCTGCTGGGAAAAGTATTGGTTCAGTTGAGACCCCATCCCACCCTGATGTTATAAGAATTTTTAGGTCTTAGATACAGTGGTGCCTCACAAGACGAAATTAATTCGTTCCGCAAGTTTTTTCTTCTTGCGAGTTTTTCGTCTTGCGAAGCACAGTTTCCCATAGGAATGCATTGAAAATCAATCAATGCGTTCCTCTGGAAACCGCCTTCAGACCAGGTCCGGGGACAGTCTGTCCCCCGACCTCTTCTGAAGGCTGGGGGGGGGGAAACAAGGGCTTTTCTTCCCACCGCCAGCCTTCAGAAGGCTGTTCTGAAGGCTGGCGGTGGGAAGAAAAGCCCTTCTCCCCACCTCCCGCCCCACAAGCTCCGGGGACAGGAGGGCTTCGCTGCCGACCGCCAGCATTTTAAAATCGCCCCGGGACAGCGGAGAAGTCTCCGCTGTCCCGGGAAGGCAGGCGGGGGGGAGCAAAGACTTTTGCCCCCCGCCGGCCTTCAGAAGAGGTCCAGGACCTCTTCTGAAGGCCGGCGGTGGGCGAAAGTCTTTGCTCCCGACGGCCAGCATTTTAAAAGCGGTCCGGGATAGCGGGAAAGCGCAGCGCAATTCCCTGCTATCCCGGACCGCTTTTAAAATGCTGGCCGTCGGGAGCAAAGCCTTTCGGCCCCCGCCGGCCTTCCTGGACCTCTTCTGAAGGCCAGAGGGGGGCGAAAGGCTTTGCTCCCTACCGCCAGTATTTAAAAGAGGTCCCCGGAGATTTCCCTATGGGCTTTCTTCTTGCAAAGCAAGCCCATAGGGAAATTCGTCTTGCGGAACGACTCAAAAACGGAAAACTCTTTCGTCTTGCGAGTTTTTCGTTTTGCGAGGCGTTCGTCTTGCGAGGCATCACTGTATATAATAAATGTTCATAAATGTACCAAGCAAACACATACATAAATGTATAAACCACATGTCTGAAGCAGCACAGGAAGACAGTCCTGAAACCATTTTAACTCCCAAACTGACCAAATGTTTCTCTGCAAGGATGGAGGAAATGAAAAAAAACCTTACCATTGTCTCAGGAATAAAGTAATTTCCATCATCTCAAAGGAATGGCCAGACTACCAGAAAAGGCAATCGGATAAGACATTATCAGATAACGTGGCAGACAGGAAAAACAACATTCAAATTTCTGTTGTAGACTGCCTTTTCTGTGATGTAGGTATAATGTATCTGGGCGGTGGTATTGGGCTACACCCCTTCTGTGGTGTAGGTATGATGTATGGAGGGGTGGTCTGGAGCTCCAGGGCAGGGAATTTCAAAATGGATATATAAGGCCTTGCGCGCCATTGTTCAAGGTCCTCCTCTCTCCTGCGGGTGGGGGAGCACCCTGTTGCAACAGTTAATAAAGATCAGGCTTACTAGTTGCTTTGCTTCTCAATATTCTCTGGATGGCCTTGTTACTTTCTTCTACTGATAGAGAACTTACAAAAGGACTCTATATGGGCTCTTGGGTACCCCATAAGGGAAAAGGAGCAGGTTTTTTTACTTATTTCACTGAGAAGCTGCCAGTCCCTACCTTTCGTTCACATTTCCCTCGCGGTATATTGCTTGGTTGAAACAACTGATGTCATTTCAAAACTGGCTTTGGACAGTATAGCAATTTATTGCATAGCTCTAAATAGCACTCTGGTTTCCAACAGGCATCTGGTTGGCCACTGTGAGAACAGTGCCCTGATCCAGCAGGGCCGTTCTTATGTTGATAATAGTCTGTACAACATGAAGAATGGGGGTATGCTAGGGAAAAAAGCTCCTAAGGGACATCTGCCACTCCTTCTGCAAAGCCTCCTGTTACTTATCCCTGCTGTAGAAATTGCTGAACTTTTGGAGAAGCCAGCAGGCCTCAGTCCCACTTCTCTATTCCCACCAGATTTGACGCTTATTACAGTGCAACGGCCACGCAGTATGATGTCTACATGGGGTCAGTTCAGCCTATCTTGCACCATCTGCTGGAAGGGCAGAATGCCAGCATCTTGGCGTATGGGCCTACCGGAGCAGGTAACTATAAAACAGTGCACAAAGGGATGAACCCAACCTAGAGTTGGTGGGGGTCGGCAGGTGGGCTAGGTCTTGGAATTGGGCTGAGGGAGGACCCGATGGTTTTTCCTCTCTCCACATCTCTTTTGTTCCCCCTCCCTAAAATGGCAGGGAAGACGTACACCATGTTGGGGAGTCCGGAGCAGCCGGGGGTGATTCCAAGAGCAGTTCAGAATCTCTTGCAGATGACAAGGGATGCTTCGGGGGATCAGCGGAAGTACTCGGTCTCTATGTCATACCTGGAAATCTACCAAGAGAAGGTAACGGGTGCTGGACAAAATGCGTAAGGGGGAAAACAGCCTAGTATATAAGAATGGTGGGATCTTTGGGGAAGAAAGCAGCTTAGAACAAGGTGGGGCTGAGGAGCCAGATGTATTGGGGAGAGCATGACCTAATTAGACTACAGCAAGTGATACTGGCAACAGATTTGAACACACTCTGGCCTCCTTTTTTGTTGTATTGAAGACTGGCAGTGTTTTGAGCCCTGGGAAGTTTGTTAATGTGACCAGAACTCCATCCTGCTCCCAGTTGGTATTTAGAAGATCAGTGTGTCATCTGCTGCTAGTCTGATCTGGAGAGGGTCCCGTCTCAGTGCCTGCTGATGCTGTCACATGTGTGCTCTGGCCCTGCTTGAAGATTGGTGAAGAACTGAGGCGTTGCTAATGGGAATGGGGAAAGAGACTGGGCAGCTGCTTCAAAAGCAAGCCGAAATGGCTGCAGAGGGGGAGAGAAGAAAGGAAAGAGCAGTAGAAGGGCAGGGAAGACAAATGGAGTAAGGCAGGGTATTGCCAGACTGTAGCTTCCATCTTCCCTGACCATTGGGCATGCTGAGGGGAGTTGGAGTCCTACAAGCTCTGGAGGGCCTTAAGTTATTTATCCTTGGGGGAAGCAGACAGAATGGAGCCTGGGAAGGAGGAGAATGATTGAATGCAAGTGGAGAAAAGACAGGGAGAGGAGGGGGAAATTTGGAGGAGTGAACAGAGCGTGGCATGGAAGTTAGATGGAGACTAAAGGTGATGAGCCAGAAGTGCCCAGGAGAAAGGAGGTCTCTTACAGAGGAGGGCAAGAGGTGAACTAGAGAACTTATTCAGTGTTTGCAGAAGGCTGGATTTGCATTCTACTTGATCAAACCACACAATCTGTTCAAGTAAACTTACGTTGTTCTCCATG